AAAAAAAAAATTAAAAAAAAAAAGAAATCTAAGGGCCAAAGTCATATAGAAATAGTTTTACTTTTTGTAAAAAGTAAGAACAGTTTTAAGGCTCTGTTTGGTTGGTATGAAAAAATACTGAATTACAAAAGGAGGAGAATTTTCCCACCTTTTTTTGGCTGTGCATTATCTAACTCAGGTGTTTTCTAGAAAGAACTGTAAAAGGCAGGGAAATTTTCATCTTTCATCGCTGAGTGCTTTTGATCAAATTTATAGCATGAAAAACATATTTTCAAGTATTTGTTCTTTCTTTTAGTAAAAATAACTCAAAGCTATACATAGGACATGTTTTTATTTTTTGCTTTGTCTGTTCATTCTGATGAAGATATATACTCAATAGCATGTCTAGTGTGTCCCCTTATTATAATTGTCCTTTTCTTTTCTAGCTGGATGTACAGTCTTGTTGTGTATTCATTCCGAATGATAGTCTGCCTTCCCCAAGTACAATTGTATCTGGTGACATTGCTGGAACAGTAAGAAGTTGGTACCATGGACAAACCAGCATGCCAGGAACACTTGTTCTCTGTTTACCTCAAATAAAGATTATTAGTGCTGGTCACAAGTACATGGAACCTCTGCAAGAAATCCCGTTTGTCATCCCACGACCCATTCTTGAAGAAGGTACATTAACCAAAATTTTTCTTATGACTAATAGTTCATATTTTTGGGGTTTTAAAAATTGTACTCACATTCATGTACATTAGTCTTATTATTGACTTAACTTCATGGCCCAAGGAAATAAATTTGTACCATTTTACTGCTATTCATACCTTTTAACTAGCCATAAATTCATATATGTAAGTGTAAGTTGTGTATAAAAGGTCATATGCAACATGGTATAATCACGTGTAAACAAAGGAAAGTTATCTTGGGAAGAAACTTGCCTGTAGATGTTTACATTAGGTGGAATAAAGAGTAATAACGTTGAACTTAATTGAAATCACTTGAGCTATAAATTAATTTATGTAAAAATGGAATAAATGTGTTATTTATCTCATATATAATGTATTTTCGATTTCTGATGTATTTACACAAAATAATTTAATGATTATTAGAGCCATGAGTTTTTTTCCAGTCCATAGTTGATTTCTTATATTGCAATGTCTTATGTTGTAAATTCTTATGTGTTTGAACCTTGACACATTAATTTCAGACATTATGTGAATCTGGAAAAGTTTTGAGTCACAGAGTAAATAATGTGAATCTATATTTTAATAACAAGACTCAAATTTTTGATAGTGCTAAATGGGTCACCACCTTGTTCATATTATTAGCATGTAAGTATATGCATCCTGCTATCATTCAGATTACTGTACATACTGCCTGTCACTGACAGACGTAAAGCCAGTAAAATTTTGGCTCCAACTTTGATGCTGATTTCCTTTTCTTTTGCTCTGTACAGAAATATCCTTTGAGATACAGTTTTCTTAACAGATGTAAGCAGTGCATCAGGGCTGTTATTCCTTAATAATATGAGCATCTTTATCATTATATAGATTTTTTTTCACTATCAGGGATCAAACTCAGAACACTGTATTTGCTAGGCAGGCACTGATGCCACTGAACTATCTGCATGGCCCCATTATATGGAATTTTAAGGGTTAAAGGAAACTTTTTAAAAACTGGTCTTATGTAAATAATCTTTGTTTTGATACAGGGATTATTTCTCTAGCATGTGCACATTTTTGTTAGTTACTATGAACTTCAGTTATTAGAAATTCTTTGTTACAATACCAATTCCATAGTGTCTTAAAGATGTGTTGGTGACTGCTCCCTATTTTATTCCAGTTCTAAATAATTTTTAATATTGAAGTGTTTTGTTTTCATATTTTTAACCAAAACTCACTACAGATCATATAATAGCTTTTTGAGATACAGTTTATATGTCATATAAATTTGTTCTTTTTTAAGCATTCAATTAAGTGATTCTTAATATGCTCAAAAACTTAAGCAAATAATGTCACTATAAAATTTTAGAACAGTTTCATTTACAAAAAATAAATACTACACTATTAAAGTGATAGCTCAGTGGCATAAGCAACTGCTGGCCAGTGCAAGGTCCTGCATTCAATCTTTGGTACTGAAAATAAGTCACTTCAGATTCTTTTTCTCTTCAGACCCTGGTCTACATCCTGTCTCTCTGAATTTGTCTATTTCAGACATTTCATATAAATGGAATCATACTATATCTGATCTTTGTGACTAGTTTTTTCATAGTTCATGGTATTTTAGGACCGACTCATGTTGATAGCAAACTTCATTCTTTTTATGTGTGACTAATACTCCATTGTATGGATAAATACCACATTCTCATTGCACATTTAAGAGTTGAAGAATATTTGGATTATTTCCACTTTTTGGCTTTCATGAAAAAATTCTAGTGTAAACTTTTAAAATTTATTTTTACTTGAATACATTTTAATTTTTATTAGGTATGTATCCTTGAGTAGAATTGTTGGGTCATGTGATTATTCTTATGTTTAAGCTTTTGAAGAATTGCTTATGTTGTTCAAAGTGTCTATAACATTTTATAAACAATGTGTGGAGCTTCTAATTTCTCCACTATCTTGTTTCCCTTTTTTATTGTCTGTTTTGTATTTTTCCAGCCATTCTTGAGAGTATGAAGTAATATCTCATTGTAGTTTTGATGTTTATTTCTCTAATGATTATTGTTGTTGAGCATCTTTTTATGTATCTATTAGCCATTAGTATATCTACTTATTTTTTAGTGGGGGAGACCAGGGATTGAACTCAGGCCCTTATGCTTGCCAGGGAAGCACTTACTCCACTGAGCCATCTCCCCGGCCCCCCTTCTACTTTTTTTTTTAAAATTATTTTTCAGAGAGAATACAAAATAGCATTAAAACAGAAAAATCACAAGTGATATGTGATTTCACTAAACAAAATAGTATGAATTTCACAGTATTTGTTGTAATACATAGCATTGTCTTCCAGCTAGTTGTTCATATTACCAGATACATGCATACAAAATTGGAAGAAGAAAAAAGAAATTAAGAAGTGAAGGGCTAGTGAGAAAGCTCAGTAGACTAAGCACCTGCTTAGGCAAGTGCAGGGACTGGTTCAATCCCGGCACTATATGCCTTGCCAGCCACTTAGACCAGGCATGTTGGTCCATGCATGTAATCCCAACCCTGGGGAGGATGGAAACGAGGATTGCTAGGAGCCCAAAAGGTGTATTGAGACCCTGTAACAAATACATTTATAAAACAAAAAGAAAATCAAAAAAATAATGAAGGAAATGAAGAAGTAAAAAAGGACAAATAATTGAAAAAAGGAGTCAAAACTAATTAGACATTGATTATTTTCTTCTATTCAATTCTTTCACCCACATTTTAGTTGCAGTACTCCCTTTGTAAAGTTGAGTTGTAACAATTCTTCATATAGACTGGATTCTAATTTATTTTCAAATACAGATTTATGGTATTTTCTCCAATTCTATGGATTGTCTTTTTACTTTCTTGTCTATATATCTTTTATTTTTAATTTCATTATATTTCAATTCCATTTTCCTTTTCTATATCAAAAGATATTTTGATCTTAGAAATTAATATTTTTTTCAAATTTAACTGATTCTACAAATATTAATATACATAATTAAATTGTTAAAATATAGGACATGTCTGTCTACCCTCTTCCTGAGCAATACATAAATCTTAAAACATTTTAATTCTTTTCTCCAAATTCACTCATTATTATAGTCTCATTTTCATTATGGCTTTAATTTTAAAAATTTCTTAAGATTAGAATAAGTAAATTAGTTAGATATTATATAATTTTCCTGAAATAGTTTAGAAGAAACATGAATGTTGGAACCAGTACCCTGGTGATATGTATAGAGATATGGATGGAGCAGAGGAATATTTAAATGGTTTTTATTTTTATTTATTTATTTATTTATTTATTTTATTTCTTGTCCCTTATTTTGTTTTATTACCATTTTTTTTTACAAACATTTACTTTAAACAGATGATAGGAATAATCGATATGACAATAGAAGCAGTACACATTTAGAAGACCAAAATGATGGGTATTTCAAGCATGGTTTTAGTGTTACACATTGCTAACATGCAGTTCCTCAGTGCAGTTCCTAAGTTCTCAGATATCAGCATACATTGTTAGTAAGGGTGAGGATTCTGCCCATTAACTGCTGTTTTCAAGAACTTGATGAAGATTCTTAGGACCCTTGCCTTAACCAGCTTATTTATATAAATGTATGGTTTTGCCCTTGCCTTATTTCCTAACTTTTCTCCTTGCTCTCCATTGTTTAATCTTTTAGTTCTTGCTTTCTATTTAATTGTATCACAAAAAGACTTCTAATCTTAGTAACTGGAGTAGTTGTGAATAGTAAAGGAGAAGAATATCTTTATACTTCTTAGTCTTGAATTTCTTCATAGACCTTTATAGTTAATACCTGTATTATGATTAGATATAAAGGAAGAAGTTCAGTTTGTATTGCAAGGTGGGATGGATGAATTTAGTTTGATGAATATATTGGTACTATGACATTCGGGTAAATAGATCTAAATGAGCTGTTGAATGTACTCAGATACAGAGCTCAAAACAGGAGTTAGTGGTAGAGATACAGTATGGTACCAAGGAAAACCATGAAAAAGATGAGATGATATGAAATCAGTTATGTAATGACAAGTTAAATGTTATCTACATATATATCAAGGAGGGAGCTGTGTAATTTGTAGCATGAGAAGAAAGAATCAGTTGTAGAAATTGCAAATGAAAGATAAGCAGAGGAAACACTAGAAGACAGTCTTCCGATAAGACATGATATTAAATAATTTATATATTTAAGACAGAGGCTTAGTAAATACTATAAAGTAAAAGAAATTTGACAGGTTAGGGTTAGTGGCTTTCCTTGATACCATATTTCCAGAAAATGATATAAATGCAAATCAAATGCAGGTAGCTTGAGGATTATTTTTTTTTTAAAAAAAGACTCATACAATAAATCATTAGAATTTTTTTCATTTTGCTTTTAATTTGAGCAAGGTATTCTGCTTAAACCATACATTATTTGAGAAAAGGGTATTAGAATAAAAAAAGACATAGGTAGATTAGCTATATGCTTGCCAGGCAAGTGCTTATTCCACTGAGCCATCTCCCTGGCCCCCTAATTAGCTATATTCTTAACTTTTAAAGCAGTAGGAATGAAGTCAGGACAATTTAAGTGGAACACGTGTATATTCTACTGTAGACAACAACTTTACAAGTTGGTTAAAATTTTCATTATTAAATCCCACTTTTGACTGAGTTTAGAAAATTTTATATTCAATAAAATCTTTCATATCTTTGTCTTTTTTGGGTTAGCTTTATAATTCCTGAGAAATTACTTTTCTCTTTATATTTTACATCACTGAATAATGGTTTTGGATTTCTAAATTCCTAGTAAAATAGTAGTTCTGTGAAACTAGCTGTTTAGATTCCTAATGGAGGGAGCCACAAACAATTGTTTCCTGAATAAGTAATGTTGTATATTTCAAATTCCTTATTTTGGTCAAAATATTTGGCATAAAGTATATATTTGTTTGGTTTAAACAGAAAATAAGACACAGAATTCAGTCATTTAAAAATTGTTCAAAAATTGC